AGCGTCTGTGGTGTTTATGCGACGGTGTCTGATCGATGTTTGCCCCTTAGGTTCGCCGCTACTGGGGTGGTGGAAAGCTGGGTCCAAAATCATTGGCGCGGATCGCGAAGGTCGAGAAAGCTAAGGCTAAGGAAAAGAAGGCTGATGTTTAGTGCTCTTTCACTGTCTTTAATATCTTTGATAATAAAAGGCACCGAGTCGTTGATGACAGTTTTATACGTATGTGCAGTTTGCATTTATTGGTTGTCATCGCGCGAACTATGGATGGGTCGTAACTTTCTTCTCTTACTGTTTTGTGAAAGTTCAGCTAACAGGAGAATGCATAATTGTACGAGTTTTACGCGCCCTTCCACATGTTGGCAACAGTAGCAGAAATACGCGCGTAATGTTAAGCGATATTTCTGTTGGTATATACCCTTCAGGTAATCTTGTAAACAGTTGTAACAACAAAAGTTATCGGCGGGTGTAACAAAGTTGAAAGAGTCTGTAGGGCGAAGCCGTTTTGCTTAATTGAATATAATTTCGAATTTATGCTGCTGAGATTACTGGAATGAATCTGCAAACAATCCGTCGTAACACCGGATTACAGAAAGGCGCGATATTTCATTCATGCGTGGGCAGCGTAGAAAACATTTGTTGAAAAGACATTCAATTAAATTGGTAACAAAATGGAAGCCTGATTTTCCAGAATAGCTTTCGATACCGCCGCTGAATATATAACAGTAAAAATAATGATTCCGGATTGGAACTTGATGCATTGTGAAAGAAAACTCAATTTCTTACTATATCAGCGTCTTTACTGCATCCCCATGTTTTTAGACGCCTAGGGGCCATTTAGTTAGGTCACGGCTCAATAGTATTTAAGCGCCAAGGAGTCAACTGAATTAATCAACTGTGCTACGTCAGTTGACTCAACTATCAGGTTTTTCACTTCAGGATCACTGGTCCACAAAATATCGTTTTATGTACTGCAGAATGATAGGAGGCGAATAAGTTGTCGATGAGATTTTTCAAAAACTGAGATTTCGATCTAACTGTACCGTGGCATTTAAATACCCGCAGTGGAAATGATATTCGCTTCCTAAGGTAATTGGTTTTTTGCTATTAATAGATTAAGTGCTGCGAATTATAAAGGTTGGACTAGAAACATACCCAAAGCTGATTGTACCACTTAGCGATTTGTGATTCCCGTGGAACTTAGTGTAAGAGGGATAAGTATCTTTTAGTGCAATTTATAGATGAAACTAAACTACAAAATTTGCCACGCTGTTTAGATCCTTTTCTCTGCCCATAATGACAGTTCTGTCTTCTGCTTTCAGATCCAAAATTTGTCAGTTTCTGATCATCAACTTCTTCATTCTTAGATTGTTCTCGATACCTTTTTTAACAGTTGAAGGCTAAAACATTTTTCCTAGCCCGAATTCTCAGAGGTTTGCAAAGTTCCATATATTCGATCTTCAGTTTCTGATGTGTTGCTGCTTACTTTCACTTTTCGATCGATTTATATAATCCTTGTTCTGGAGGTGCTTTCAGTATTTCTGCAACTGTCTTTGTCGTATCCTGAGGCACTCCGTTGATTCCTACTTCTGCTTCCGTCTCTTCTTGCATTCCGGGAACGAAGTCCATTCGGTAACTTAATTTCAGCTTGATCACGGGATGTTCCTCTTCAGTGTTTGCATGCGGAGTATCCTACGTCTGTAGTAGTCAACAACAGTCGTCGTTTGCTTGTTTTTACGGCGCAGCTGTTGGTTCTTTGCACCTGACGAGCCTCTGGTCGTTTCCTGCAATAACCCCATTCAGCACCTCGATATCCCGCATAGTTTTACTCTACATGAGGATGAAGTCGATTTCATTCCTGACATTGTTTAGGCTTTTCTATGTCAATTATTTACTTGTTTTCTTTTGAAAAAAGTGCTGATGAAAATAAATCATTTTCGAAGCAAATCCCGTTAGTCGGTCACCCTTCTTTTTTTATTCGCTATGTTCAAATCGGTGCACATGTCGTTTGTTTCCTTGCTGCGGCCTGACTTTAGCGTTGAAATCATCTGTGGTGAACTTGTAATAGCACATTCTATGTTCATGCAATTGTCTTCTTCGTTATAAGGCTTTCCAACATTTTCATAAGATGGCTTAGTGTCAGCGCATATTCGTTGGACCACTTGGAGTTCGAATCTTTTCCGAACTCTCGACACCGGTCTTCTACACCTCTCTGGAGTGCTGTACCTTGTCCTACACTGTTCTTTGTTTTCTTCTATGAATGATGAACCTAATTTTTACTGCCAGTGTTCCTATCTGCTGACGATTTGGCACTTCACCGGCTTGAGGATAGGGCAACGACCTCAAGATATCATAGGTTAGTTGCGACAGATACGCAGACGCAGACAGGCAGCAGTGAGACCACCAGGGAGTGGCTGGGTTCGAGCTCGACAAATTCGATCCTCACAGAAAACCTCAATGCCCAATGACAGTCTCACGACGAGGCGAAAGCGAACGCCCCTTTGAATAGAAAGTACAGCCAGTGTCATCGCTGCTTTGGAGGTTAGACGTGCGTTTGCCAAAGGATAGAAGAGACAATTTCGGTGAAAACCTGACTGAATTGGAGCACTTGTCTGTAAGAACTTTCCCAGGCCACCGTCAGCTCTGCCAGCGGATGGCTAAACTTCATGCGCTATGACAACTCAGTGTTGCGGCCGGAGCGGTTCATCGCCGATTATCGGCCGGTCAAGGTGATCCATCTGATTTCTCCTGTTCTTCCATCTGCCTGTTTTCAATGCTGAAAAATGCATAAAAGCGCTTTATTTCTACATGAGGAAAACAAATGAGCTGGTCAATCTGATGATTGACCAGTACTGACTCTCTGGCTCGTCTTTTACGAGTCTCCTTCAGGGTGTTTCAGGTTGGTTTTTGCAGTTAGTTGTGTGGTTCCCAGCCGTTGTGGCGTCTGGAGCCGAAGATGTGTGTGGGCCACGACGCGGGTTAAGCAGTTTTTGGGTCACGGGCTTGATAAGACTTGTTCAATCCTCGCAGAGTGACTAACTTATTCGCTTGTTCTCGTGCATTTCTTCTCCAGCTTTCAAAATGAACATCAAAGCACAAACAAATTACTCAGTCTTCGGATTTGCCTATTCTCCATAGAATAGGAAGTGTCTACTGCTAAGCTTTATCAGCCACTGCTTCTGCCATCAAAGTTCGCTGAGGAAGTCAACATCCCAGTTGATTTTACAAAACTCTTCTTCCAGCACCTAATGCTTTGAGTTGCGTTATTAAACTGCAACAGCTCTGGTCCGTAACTTGGGTATTCTTGAGCCCCTTATCTTCCAAGGAAAGGACACAATTTCTTGTCAGCGGCAGTCCAAATTTCAGGGTATGAGAATTACGGCTTCAGTTATGATTTCAGCTTGAAGAATGCCATAACTCACCATGCTGCTGAGGTCGATTGATGAATGTTGTTTCTTCCACTTTTCTGAGTATGTTTCTCAAGCTGTCAAGGCATTGTTAAACCTGTCAATGGCTTGAAGCTCAACTGTACAGCGCTTTGAGAATCAGCTGTCACCATCGGATTACTGTGAGGTAGAGTAAATACGATTTCAGACAGTCTTAGTGGCTTAGCATGCGACATTTCAATAATTTCTTCATGCTTAATAAAACTGTGTTATTCTGAATTTGAAAAAGAAGAATCTGAGATTGTGAAGGTACGAACTTAATATATGAATACAGCTACGCTAAATCGAAGAAAACCTCAAAGTGAAGAAGCAATGAAGTACCTACTGCCGCAGTGGAATAGGAGAAATCGTTTATTTAGGCTGTAACATCGGGTAGAAGAACCGCACTATCCAGTAGAGATCACACAAAATTAGTGCTGACAGATTAAACAGACGAAACAAGAATTTGAAAACAATTGCAGGCTAGGAAAACTCTAGAAAAACCGTTGACAGGAAGAAGCGTCTGTCAGCCGTTGAATTTGGCTACAACCCCTACGACGAAGAAAGTATTATTGACTTTCTTAATCCTCATTTATCTCTAGCTACTATGTATTGTGTGTAAACATTTCTAGTTCCGATTACCATGAGAGAACAACAACATCGCAAAGTTTGACCCACCCAACAGGCGCTAAGCATGTTACTCTGCAACCTTGCTGCGGATGGTGTTTGGGCTGATAAATATAACCATGTTCAGGCAGTGAAATATATTCATTTCACAGTAGTCGTGTATTTATTAAGCATCTTCATCATCTTCCATCGCCGCTTCTCCTTTCGGGTCGCGGAGGCAGACGCGTCAGACAGTGCTTCC